TTTTCCTCTGAGCTTCTTTGTGTGGCCATCAAATAATTGTAGCTTATTTTGATTGTGGAAGTTTTATTCCTCCAACTGCTGAAGTATTAATATTTATGCTGAAGAATTAAACCAGGACACTACTGGTGTGGTGCACTTGTTAATGAGACAAGTGAGTCCTTTTCCAGCAACTACAAATCCATCATGCAAAGGGAAATCCTGTCCTTTTACTTTTTCATACTTAAAAAAAAAATTCTTTATCTTCTTGGCATACTCTTTGATATCTTCTCTTTGGGAGAAATCTTAATTATAGCTTCAGAGTGTTTTTATTTTCATTTTCTTCCTAGAAGCTTATTTTTTAAAATGCAAATAGAGACTCTAGCTCAGGAAATCCTCAAGCTCTAAGATTTCCTGAACTGAATGAGCCCAGTGGGATCTCCTGTGTTGCTCAAAATGCCTCCTATCTAGTAACAATGTTACCTCAAATTGTATTTACTGCTACTTGTAAATGTACCTCTTCTTTCAACAGGAAATATATGGTGGGGATTTGGGGAAAGGAGAAGGAAAAATAAGTGCAAAGTGTACATACTTTCTGTAACTAGAGTCTTGCCTTAAGCCATCTCTGGTGTATTTCTCCTGGTCCAGGGTCAATCAATCAACCAATCAACAAATTCCAGAAATATTTTTATGTACCCATTATGTACCTCCAACAATATCCCTTTCCTTAAAGGGAAGAACCATAGTAGGATCAGTATCTACCTTGTTTCTGCACACATATTAGATGTCACTTAACCACACAGTTCAATCCAGGTCCCTCCAGAATGTGTGGACAGACCAGTGGTCTATAGTAAAACAATGTTTATCTCGAATGATTGCAGGAATTTTGCAATTTTATCAAAAGTCTCCAGATATTCCAGTGGCAATGTTAATCAGCATTCATTGCTAAATTCCTCCATTATGAGGCCATTCTGCCTTTTGCTTAGGTTTGTTGAGAACCTGAGTTTTCTCTCGAGCTTTGGAAATTGTGTGTCTTGGGTGAGGGAAAGTAATGGAACCTCCTCCTCCATACTCCGGCCAACTATCAGAGACCTGTCCATAGTTTTGTCCTGTCAGCTTCCTCTGCTACTAAAATCTAGGGGCTTATCCATGTTTCTGGTCATTCATGCTTTGTTTGGTGTTAACAGTATGTCTTTTTCCAAGTGTCCATTGTCCCCGCTCTGTACTTTGAGTGGCTTTTTATCATATAAAACTCAGATATACAATACATAGTATTTTCTTGGCACCTAGTTTCTTCGTCTTTTGCACGAAAATGGCTGTCATTGATGTGCTTCTGTTTGGAGTTGTCCTGATTCCAAACTCCAAGAAATAGAAAGTTATTTTCCCTTGTTTCCCCCTTCCAGTAAATTTCCCCCTAATTCCTTCTTCTTTTAAGTTTAGACCTATACCGTGTCCCAGAATCCTTCTCCCAGTAGGCACAGTGTGCTTCAGCTCTCTGAGAACTCACCTTGACAGCTCTGGTCCCAGTTCTAAGTGCTGTTCACAGAAATCTGGCCTTCAAGTATAGGTCAAAACAAAGCAGGCATTCAAGGACTGGAACTGGTCTTCTATTCCCTGTCCTTGAAGAAAGATTAGGTACTTTTCTACCCCCACCCCCATACATGTGTTGGGGTCTATTTAGCTGTGGCATGTGTACTGACCCAAGGCTGGCTTGCTGTCTCCTGGCACTGTTTAGTGTCACCTCTCTTGTATTCCTTTTTATTGTTTAGATTTCCCCATATACCTGCCAGGATGCCTTTCTGTGTCTTAGGTCATTAGCGTCAGCTCTTTGCCTCAATGATCATATTTGGAGCCTACATCTTACATGTTGAAATCTTTGTTGTCAGTAAGCTTCTCCCCAACCCTGACCAACTCCCAAACCTCTCCCACTCCAGAGTGTGGCTCACATCTGGGAAACACTTTCTTCTCCAAAGTCCAGTTTTCTTAGAAGTATATTTTCAAACCTTATTTAAAAATCAAAGCTACAACTCATAACACATTATTGGTAGTGGTTATCTAGTACTATTCGTATGATATTGATACTTATACACAGGTCTTACACACCAACTGAAGTGCAAACCCGATGAAGAAAAATCCATGCCTTGTTTGTCTTTAAATTCCTCTTTCCCTTTCCCCAATGTCAAAGACAGTGACAAACACCTAGCAGACACCTGATACATGTTTACCCAATGGTGACCAAAGGGATGAATGCAGAATTCATTTGAAATTTCTCACCATGCAGAGCATTTCTCTTAGTTAGAAAATGAAATCTTTACCTTATTCTCACTCTTGATTCCCCTGCACTTGTTTGTAACTTGTGCTATTTCAGAATTCAGTGGTTGTGTTATTGAATGTCTTTCAACTACAGAAATCAAAGGGCCTTTGGGAATAAGACTTTCTTTTTATGAAGTTTTTTAAAGACTTTCTTTATGCTCCAGAATTAGAGGGTTTCTAGGAGTCATCAATGGTTTTCTTGTAACTTTCAAGAAAATCATATATTCCAGGAATGTGGACACCTGCGGTATCTGCTCAAGTTATTCCTTTTAAGAATATTAATTTATTCTTTTGCTCAACCTGCCTAAATGAAGCCATTGCTTCCTGAATTCTTCAAATTTGTGGGCTGAGAGCATAAGTACATTTCCTTAAATACCAAAGTCTTGAATAATTTTCTTTTTTTTTTTTTTTTTTTTTTTGAGACAGAGTCTCACTTTGTTGTCCAGGCTAGAGTGAGTGCCGTGGCGTCAGCCTAGCTCACAGCAACCTCAAACTCCTGGGCTCAAGCGATCCTACTGCCTCGGCCTCCCGAGTAGCTGGGACTACAGGCATGCGCCACCATGCCCGGCTAATTTTTTATATACATATCAGTTGGCCAATTAATTTCTTTCTATTTATAGTAGAGACGGGGTCTCGCTCTTGCTCAGGCTGGTTTTGAACTCCTGACCTTGAGCAATCCGCCCGCCTCGGCCTCCCAGAGAGCTAGGATTACAGGCGTGAGCCACCACGCCCGGCCAATTTTCTTTTTATATTCATTTTATTCTAAATATTTATTTGTGACTTTCTTAAGGGTAAAAAGACAAAATAGTTCATTTTGTTGCACAAATTATAGCTACAGAGCATTTTATGGTCATATAGAATTAATTCATAAATGCTTCTATTGATATCTTGAATTTTATTAGCTCATGCTTTTGGTATAAGGAGAGAATAAATATATAGAACAGAAAATCAGAGAGACAGATGAGATATAGAGGAGAAGGAATATGCTACAAACGCATTATTAATGCCATTTGAAATACCAGCTAGCTACATAAAAATGTTATATGAAACAAATTTACAAAAAGCTTACAGAACTAGTGGCTTTTCAGCCTGAATGCAGAATTAAGTTTTTATTAGCAAGTGAATTTTGGGTTATATTACATATTGAGGAAATTTTATATTTTTTTCTGTTAGTAATAATGTATAAAGTTTTTATGAGAAGGTAAAAGCTATTAAAATAAATCAATTATTTTGTGAGCAGTTTAGAACAAGTGCAAACATGTCTTGTCCTCCTTTCTTTCTCAATCCTGGAGATACAGTGTTCTATTTTAAAACAATTGTATATAGCACCTAGGAGAGTACTTTGAAGCATTAATATGATATTAAGTCTAGATTATGAATTTTGATGTCCTAAATGTGGCTGTATCATTAAGGCTTCTTAATATTTTAATATCTGTAGAATTATAGGGCTCTACTCTTTGAGCCTCAGATACTAAACTTACTGATGTGTGTGGGGGGGCTTCTTTCTGTTTGCTTCATGTTTCATTGTAAAGGAACATATGCTAGAGTAACATTCCTGGCCTCTTCCCACCCATTACTCATTCCAAACCATGAGAAGAAGTGAGTTTCCTGATTGGTGGTTGACATCTGTGTCCTGTTTCTTTATTAGACCCTGCAGATTTACTCTCTTTTCTTTCTCTCATTGCCCTGGGCCAGAGTAAGTGACTAGTCTTTGATAAGTGCATCTCTTCTGTGGATGCAAAATTTTCTTTGATGGACTTCCTGAGGTATAATGTTTATGTATGTGAGTGTGTGTGGTGGCAGTGTTGGGGCAGGGAAGGTAGCAAGCCCTTTGACTACAGAACCATGTCCACATTTTCCAATCAGCTTACAACAATAAGGCCAGTATTTTTGTTTCCATTTGTCTGTTTTCTCCATCTTATTTCCCAATTTGTTCCAAAATTGACAGGGGAAGAAATGAGTGTCATGTCTTGAATTCTGCAAAACCTCAACAATTATGGTAATAAAGTAGCAGTGTGGGGTGCTACTATCCATTTCCTGAATGAGGTAGTGAATGATGCCTTAACTAAGGAGAAGAGGCTTCTAGAATATTACTCCACCTAGACCAAGACATTCTTGCCCAGTGGCATTATTTATAGTCATCTAGTATTAATAGCTTAAGTTGTCTTCTAAGAATTGTGTCCCAAGGAATCCACAGACTCCTTACTAAGTTGCCTTGTTAGGTTAATATCTATCAGAAAACACATACTGGACAAAGCAATACTTAGGAATTAATAATAGTCTTCTCTTTATTTTTACCTTCTTCTCCTTCTCACTCTTCTCTTTCCTTCTTGTCAACTTCTCATCATGGAAAGATCAAGTTAATGTGTAAATTGGGGGAATATATGTGGGGTAAATTCAGATGAAATTCAGATTTAATGTATGTAGTGAGAAATTACAATGGTCTGTTTGCTCCTCTATGCCAGAGGGAGATTCCTCCAGGCATGGATGCTCCTTGTTCTTATTTCCATTTCTTGTTTTGGTAGCCTTATAATTTTCTACCAATTTCCACTTTGAATCCTCCTAAAGTCTTTGAAAAATAAGTAATATTTGCAAAAGAACAACAACAATACAGATATAAGGAACCAAAATAACATTCATAATAACCTGGTTAGTAGGGAATCAAGAATGTTGGATATTGTCTACCCTCTCCCTAAGCCGTCTCCTTTCAACCTTGTCCGCTGGTTGGCATGGCCTTTGGTGCAGCCGCGGCGGCTCCTGTTCCTGCCTAGCTCTGTCCCCTCTTTCCCTCCCCACCAGATCCTGGAGTTCGGCCACCATGGCTTTACTCACTGAGGCTGCCCGGCTCTTGGGAGCTAAGAATGCATCCTGTGTTGTTTTTGCTGCCCGGCATGCCAGTGCTTCCTCCACGAATTTGAAAGACATATTGGCTGATCTGATACCTAAAGAGCAGGCCAGAATTAAGACCTTCAGGCAGCAACATGGCAAGACAATGGTGGGCCAAATCACTGTGGACATGATGTATGGTGGCATGAGAGGCATGAAGGGATTGGTATATGAAACATCAGTTCTTGATCCTGATGAGGGCATCTCTTTCCGAGGAATTAGTATCCCTGAATGCCAGAAAGTGCTGCCCAAGGTTAAGGGAGGGGAAGAACCCCTCCCATAGGGCTTATTTTGGCTGCTGGTAACTGGACAGACCCCAACAGAGGAACAGGTATCTTGGCTGTCAAAAGAGTGGGCAAAGAGGACAGCTCTGCCTTCCCATGTGGTCACCATGCTGGACAACTTTCCCACCAATCTACACCCCATGTTTCAGCTCAGTGCAGCCATTACAGCCCTCAACAGTGAAAGTAAATTTGGGCATATGCAGAGGGTATCAACCAAACCAAATACTGGGAGTTGATTTATGAAGACTGTATGGATCTGATCGCAAAGCTACCTTGTGTTGCAGCAAAAATCTACCGGAATCTCTACTGGGAAGGCACCAGTATTGGGGCCATTGACTCTAAGCTGGACTGGTCCCACAATTTCACCAACATGTTAGGCTATACGGATGCACAGTTCACTGAGCTCATGCGCCTGTACCTCACTATCGACAGTGACCATGAGGGTGGCAATGTAAGTACCCATACCAGCCACTTGGTGGGCAGTGCCCTTTCAGACCCTTACCTGTCCTTTGCAGCAGCCATGAATGGGTTGGCAGGGCCTCTACATGGACTAGCAAATCAGGAAGTGCTTGATTGGCTAGCACAACTACAGAAGGAAGTTAGCAAAGAAGTATCAGATGAGAAGTTACAAGACTACATCTGGAACACACTCAACTCAGGACGGGTTGTTCCAGGCTATGGTCATGCAGTACTAAGGAAGACTGATCCACGATACACCTGTCAGCGAGAGTTTGCTCTGAGAACATCTGGCTACTGACCCATGTTTAAGCTGGGTTGCTTCAACACCTATTACAAGATTGTGGGCCCCAATATCCTCTTGCGAACAGGGCAAAAAAAAAAAAAAAAAAAAAAAAACGAAAAAAAAAAAAAAAAAAAAAAAAAAAAAAAAAAAAAAAAAAACGGCCAAGAATCCTTGGCCCAATGTAGATGCTCACAGTGGGGTGCTGCTCCAGTACTATGGCATGACAGAGATGAATTACTACACAGTCCTGTTCGGGGTGTCACAGGCACTTGGTGTATTGGCACAGCTCATCTGGAGCCAAGCCTAGGCTTCCCTCTAGAGAGGCCCAAGTCCATGAGCACTGATGGTCTGATGAAGTTTGTGGATTCTAAGTCAGGGTAAAAGTGGAGACTGGGAGGAAACTGACTTACCAGAAAATGAGGAAGCTTAAAAAAAAATATTATATATATATATATACCTTTGTTTCAGGGGGCCTTAAAGACTAAGATTAATTGTATCGAGGCACTGATAATATGTTTGAGGTTAAATAATAAATTATGACTTTAAAAGATGAAAAGTGACCACGTCTTCCCTAACCAGGCCCTTCCCCTGCCTGGTATGAGTTGCCCATCAACTGTAGGATGACCAGGACTAATGCATGTAGTATGGTTAGATTTGGTTCCCTGCCATCTCTCAGAGTGATAATCTGGTCTTCTTTCTCTGGGTCAAAGCTGGTTGCAGAGAATCTTCAGTCACTTCAGAGATTTTGTCTACTCTGCTAAGCCTCAATTCCAGCAAACCAGGATTCTGCCCCTTTTGTTTACATAGGAATCGTGTTGATTGTCAGCTGTACCAAGCTCTTTGGCCCTACCCATGCACACAAACATCTCCTAGAAGAACCTGTTGGTTAGCTGGACATGCTTTGGCAATTTTTTTATGTTACCAGGTGACTATAAAAGCATGGCATTTGTTGTGACTGGCACCCAGTGTTTGATTTTCACGTTTTAAAATTATCTCGCTAAAATTAAGGTCTGGGAGTGTTTTGTTTCCATTATTTTATTTTATTATTATTATTATTTTTTCCCATGCTATCACTCATTGTTTTAAGTTTCCTATTACTTTAAAATTCACCTCCTTCCAGACTTTCTATACCTGCTGCACCTCAAGATGAGATGTTCTGGACCTTTCCCTCTTGGTCCCTATTAGAGACCTCTTTCAACAGATCTGTCTGATCCATGGTCTTTCCCAGTCATTGGGTTTTATCAGTGCTTAATGTGAACTAAGTTTTTTACTTCCACAGAATATAAGCCACTACCTTCTGACCCACCCCTCAGCCCCCCTTTAATATACTGTGGGACAGGGACTTAGAAGACCAGCATATCTTCAGAGTCTGGTTCCAGGGTTACTAGCACCTCTTTTTGAATAAGGAAATCATTCAAGATTAGATGTGGACTCCTTTGAATATCAGTTCTGGGGAGTGAGGCATTAAAAATAGTAAGCTTCCCTCTTCATCCCCTGCCTCAAAAAAATGCCCCTTATTTATCAACATCCTTTTCCTGCCCCTTCCCCAAGAGCTCACAGTACGGTGTTTTAGAAGCCCATTTGCACAGGTTTTCAGCGACTCAGAATGCTCCACTGCCTTTTCTTTGAGAAAGGTTGATACACTGCTACTGTGCCCTTTTTCCCTCAAAACTCCTGCCTGTGTTTGTGTGGATTCCTAACCCCCAGAACCACACTGTTGAGATGGACACACTGTAAACCCTTGGGTAACTGTCAGGTCATTATGCAGACTTCAGGTTATTCTGTATAAAATGCAAATAAATGTTTTTATTAACAATGCTTGAGTCTGCTATTAAATAAAACTGGAGGAATTTTATTACGAGGTAAGGAATCTGGCTAGTAAGATCCTGAACGTAGCAGGTTATAAGTTATCTCTGCATCCCTTTATCTTTTAGAGAGGTTGGCCTTCTTTTACCCTAATCAGAGGAAAGGTCCTGAGAGATTCCCAAAAGAGATTTCTGTCCTTCCTCAAGGCGAGGAAATCCTTGAACTTTATCCCCTAACCTTCTTAATTTTGTTGTAGGGTAGAGCACTCAAGGACTACAGCTGAGACACAAGTGCTTATGTGAAAATCCAAGAACTGGTCTGTCTAGTCCACTGAGTGAAAAGAACAAACTATACGAAGGACAAATGGGCTACAATTACTAGCTCAGGATCTGAGCCACTAGAGGGCTCTGGTACTCTTGGAGGCCTACTCTTTGCAGCTTCCCTTAAGGGACGTCCAAAAATAACAAGAGGTGTGCCTGAGGGCATCAGATATATGGAAGGTCTGAGACCAGATGATTCTCGCCTAAGACTCCTGCTGCAACTGGACCTTCTGAAAAGTCTATAAATAGGCAAGGGGTGGGTACGAGGTCCTGCTTGTAGAATTTGCTACTATAGTTAGCAGGGACACTATGTCCAAGAGGCTTCTTACACCTTCACTCCTCCAGGGAAGAAGCCATGACTTTCATCTATTCTGCTTTACTACATTATTCACCCAAGAAACAATACAATAAAGTCAAATTCACACTGAAAAAAAAAAAAAGAATGTTGGATATTGAATGCCTCTCTGGTTTTTAGAATTTTATTAATAGTTTTAAATGTATATTATTCATATAAATATATCAATGTTTTCTAACTTGGGCCCATATACTGGAAAAGGAAAGGCATAATTAAAGAAAAATATATTTGATGAAAAACGATCTTTATGAAGATTGGTTTTGAAGTCTTAAAATATGGTTATTTATATTATATGGCAGTCATTTGAAAATTATTTGGGTAAAAGTTACATTAAAAGAGGCAATTCCTTAAAAAAAGCAAACATCCTTAATCACGAATGAAAGGCTCATTAATGAGTCATAATATGTGGAAGATGAATTACGTTCAGGGGAATAGGATTGCCAAATATCAAACGATTCATGGAAAAGAGACAATATATACTGCTGAGGCAGTCAAAATTATCCTTCATTAATACAGATATAGAAAATCTGTTCATTGTTTAAGCCAGCCATGTGAATCATTTTGGAAGACCACTGACATCTTTATGTTGTTAGTTAACATGCAGTATATTTTATAAACTGTAGATGTTTTTATTCTTAAAATTTATATCCATTCTAAAAAAGGGAAACATAACACTATTAAAATAGAAGGTATAAACTAAAGAAAAATTTAGAAGAAAACTACATATATACTCCAAACCTAGGTTTTTCATTTTACCTAGGAAAAATATCTAACGCTTTAAAATGTTTTACAAGCCTTGCAATGGATGATTCCTGCCTGGTTTTTTGATATTCATCATCATGCTTTTTTCTCCCTCATATACCACATTCTGGCACACAGGCCATTTTTCAGTTCTCAAACCACTCTATTTTACTGACCTCAAGGTCTTAAATTCAAAGTTCTTATCTGGTATTCTGGCAGAAGAGCCTTCTGCACTATTTACTGGGAAACTCTATCCTTCAAGGGCTGGTGGTCATTTTAAGTATCATTTTTCGCAAAACAAGGCCTTCTTGTCTACATCACACGACCCTGTATCCTCTTGCTCCAATATCTAAGAATCTGTGATTATTATATTGATTATGTCAATCGTTAATAAACATAAGGGCACAATTCCTCAAATCTACGGTCTTATCAGAACCCTAACATAAACTCAACAAATATTTTGACTATTTATGAAAGTGCAGTACAGATTTTTAAATAATTTTGAACCTCATCAAATTGTAGTAAAATGAGTTGCATTTTCACAGAGACATGCTGTTTATTAGCTAAAGTTTCTATGACAGATAAACTTTGTTAACTTGACAAAACTATAAAACTGATGAATTAAATGATATAATTTGATTATTGCTTCCTAAATCTCTATATGTTTAATTGGATATATGAAAAAGGGGGGTGGGTATGTAATGATCTTTTTAATTTTAATCATCATAATGTATCATTCCAGGAATCATAGAGCTAAATTTAAGGCCAAACATAGTACTTGCACTCACCATTCATTCAACAAATATTTATTGAGTACCTTTCACATACCAGTGAAGAGCTGGGCCAAACCTCTGAGAATCAATTTTCCCATAAATCAATTCATCTAATAATCAATTCACCAGGATCAAAAACATCTTGCTAATTATTTATTCTAATATCACTTTATCTACAAAATTATCAGTATACTCTACATTATAATTTTCTGAATTAGCATATGGCAGATATCTACACTTGTTAAGTTTCACTACTATGCCCTTGGTCTAATTATTCCTTTTATTTATTTATTTGTGTTTATTTTTTATTTTATTTTGCATATTTATGGGGGTACAAATTTTAAGGTTTCAATAAATGCCCTTTCCCCTCCCCCTACAAGATCTGAGTTCCAGCGTGACCATCCCCAGATGGTGCAACAAGATCAAATCAGAACTAAACGAAATGAAAACAGGGAAGCTATTCAGGAGATTAATAAAACAAAAAAGTTGTTCTTTGAAAAAATAAACAAATTGACACACCATTGGCTAAGCTAATGAAAAGCAGAAAAAGGAAATCTCTAATAAGCTCCATCAGGAAAAAAAAGGAGATATCACAACTGATCCCAAAGAGATACAAGATATAATTTATGAATACTACAAAAATCTTTATGCACACAAACGGGAAATGTGGAGGAAATGGGACAATTTCTCAGAACGACACAGCCACCGTAGGCACCAGAAGAAATAGATTCTGAACAGCAATCTCACAAGCTGAAATAGAAACAGCAATTAAAATCTCCCTAAAATGAAAAGTCCCCGGTTCCAGATGGTTCCCACCCAAAAAATTTTACACACTTACAAAGAAGAACTAGGATATCTATCTTGCAGGAAATTATTACACAACATCGGACAGGAAAGGAAACTCCCTGACCCTTTTATTGAATGCAAATATTACTCTAGATACCAAAACCGGGAAAGGATGAACAAAAAAGAAACATACAGACAATATTTCCTAATCAATAGATGCCAAAAATTTCAACAGACCTTTAGCGCTAACGAATCCAGACGCTTATCAAAAACATAATCCGTCACAACCAAGTGGTTGTGATGC